CCCTCCATAATCTATTCCCCTCGCCCAACCGAGTATCTCTCCATTCCTACATAATAGGTTACCTCCCACTTAAATATCAAACGCCTCTTCACGGATAACCTATTTGGTCACTACACCTATTCATTCACACCCCTAATCTCTCCCCCTATCATGCATTTTCTAAAAATTATGGACATGCTGCTACACAATGGAGCGGCAGGAAAATTTGAAAATCTTACCTGAAGCCAGGTATTGTAGAACAGTTTGATGATTGTAAGTGGTGTCCCACCAAACAAAAAATATATACGAGGAATTTAAAAAAAAACAAAGTGCAAATTTTGAGCAAGTAAAGTAATTTAAAACAAAAGGAGTAGACAACAAAGATGGCCACAATCATAAGAAATAAAAGTACAACAGGTGGAAATTAAGGGTTTCACTAAGGTAGAAATATTAAAAGGAGGTTCAAGCCACAATGTAGGACAGAAAACAGGAGATGTGCTCTTTCAGCCATACGTTTATAAATCCAGGAAGCCGAGAATGCCAAAACCTTTATGCAGTTCAAAATCCAGCTGGATAAACATATCAGGAAAAAGTAGTGACCTTCGACAAGGCGCTGGTTTCCTGTCCTCGTCAACACCATTACAGAGATGGTGGGCCTATACCTCAGATGACCTTTTACCTATACCTCAGGTAAACCTAGGTATAGGGTTAAAAAAAAAACTCTGTTAGAATACAACGAGTTTACCATAAAGGAAAAGGAATGTTGACGTCTAAAAAGCAGCTAACAAAGAGAAGGCAAAATTGCTTAATTCGAGCTCCACCGTAGAGATGTCAGTCTAAGGAGGCGGGCGGTTCAGAGGTTTGATCAAGAACAGTGGAATAGCCAACACCGTCGACAGACAAGACCCGTCCATGAACAGGGCAATTGAGTGGGAGAGAGAGGAATAATGTAAGAAGGGCACAAGCCTTCGCTATGCAAGAAAGGACTTTTTAAAACTGCACTCCTTGGGGCAAGGTAGGAACAAGAGTAGATACGGCAGACGTGCATCAAGAGAATCTTGCAAACTAGCCATTGTTGTAGGAAAAGGAAGGTAGCAAGAGATCCCTCCCGAGTGGCAGTGGTCCAAGCACAGCACAAGAGGGACGCCACGAGGTAGTGAAGGCAGTAACTACTACTACTGTGACCTGTAAAGATAGCACGCTTTCAACGTACAAGCTCTGGGTGGTGGACAAACTAAAGGGCTTATCTCGGTATCATGCAGAACATGAAGTTTTTGAAATGTCGAGGAACATTAAGTCATATCAGCAAAGAAAAAGATACTAAATTGGCGTCCACCCAGGAAGGGAGGAGCCGTTGACAAGATGCATCTCTATGGCGGCTCCCAACTTTACATAGTAAAGAGTCAAAAAGAGACAAACCTTGGCCTTGAGGTTTTAATTTAATGCACGAATACGTTATGTCAGAGTGAGTTAGACAACAGACCTGCATTGCGTCTTCTCAGAGAAGTAAGTAATTATCAAAAAACACCAAACCGGGAAGGCTATGTAGCACCATCAAATGTGCGGGATAATCAGAGGGCGCTAAATATCAAGGATGCCAATAGGAGAACAGAAACGCATAAGGCGAGCGATATCAAAAGTATCCAAGTCACCAAGAATACTTGCGGTCGAGGGACAAGCGACCGCGGGGGACGGTCGGAAAACAAGACACGAGCTCGTCCTGGAAGTCAGGACATTCAACAAGTATATGCACGCCCGTAAGAGGGACAATGCAATTTAGACAATAAGGAGCAGGGCGGCGCTCATTTAGTGACCACGAGTTAAGTGAATATAGCCAATTCGCAACCTCGCCAGAGCCGTTTCCCATCGCCGGTTACGGTGGTAGGAGGACGGCCACGAGGACAACTCTTAAGAGTACGCAGTTTGTTACCAGTAACAGAAGACCAACAAGCCTGCCAACGGGTAAGGTTGGAGGAATGGATAACCGGGTAAAAGTCGGAATATGGAATATCTTTACGAGGGATGGGACAAATGCGGACAGCTTCCCTAGCGGAAGCATCCGCACGCCCATTTAAAGACACACCAATATGGCTGGGAACCCAACAAAACTCAACCGACTTAAATTTACTGTGAACAAAAAACAGCCAATGCTGGATCTCGACAACCACTGGATGAACCGGATTAAAGGACCCGAGAGCCACGAGGGCATTACGAGAGGCAATGACAACCACAAAGGAAGACTGACAACGAGAAAGCAGGAGACGAAGAGCATAGAGAATAGCATAAAGCTCCGCTGTAAAGATGCTAGTCTCCGGAGGTAAGCGACACATGTAAGTGCAATCAGGAAAAAACAACAGAGTAGCCAACACCGTCCGCAGACTTAGACCCATCGGTGAAGACGGAAACGGAGCGGGAGCAAGAAGAAAAGTGCTCAAGGAAAAGGCGTTTTACAACCGTAAGAGGGGTAAAAGCTTTAGTGATGCAGGTTAAGGATGTACAAAACTGCGGAAGGTGGGGGGGGAGGGGACTCCACGGGGGGCAAAGAAGGAACAACACGAGGAGAAATATTAGAAATACGAACTGAAAGAATCCTGTAAGCGAGATAACCGGACAGAAAGAGGGAGGTGGTAAAGAGGAACAGGAACCTCAGGGACAAGGTTCCTAGTCTACCAAGCCAAAGCACGACAGACGCGAGAGGAAGGATGTTGTAAGGACCGCGCAAGACAGCAAAGACAGTTGTCTCATAGAAACAGCTGCCCGTCCTCGCCAGTGTCCCCAACGTCAAGAAACTATTTATTTATATACAAGAAGATACTTTTGGGTTTGCGATTAGATAACATTGGTGCTTTTACATACATTGGTGCACTGTCTTACTAACGTGCCTTATCCTAACCAACCAGATTACCCACGAGTTCTAGTGTACCAATGGCGCAGTGATCCACCTCTGGATCACGGTAAAAGGAGCAGCTGTTGTCACGAGAAAAAGATGGAGCAAACAGGTGACAAGATAGTCGCCACTTGCAACTCTTGCAAGAGAGCCTGTAACGTACGGTTATGTTACGTTGTTGGGTAGATTAGATACACAGTGTTTAGCGAGTTTCATATTTATTTAGTAGTCCTGGATACAGCAGTTGCCACCTCTTGGGTGGCTTAATCTTTATCAATCAATCAATCGTTATGAACCACCATTTGGTCACCACTTGGTCCGGGAGACATCTCCCGTTACGCAGGGTGCAGTTGCACCTCCACAGATCTCCAGTATCAGCTCTTGATACTGGTAATGGCTCAAAAGGGCCACCACTTACGGGCTATTCATGCCCGTGCCACCTTTTCGATGGTTTAATCGTCATCTTGGACACATTCATGGGAAACATCTCCCGTCACGCTGAGTGCACTTGCACCTCCACAGATCTCCAGTATCAGCTCTTGATACTGGTGATGGCTCGAAAGGGCCACCACTTACGAGCTATTCATGCCCGTGCCATCTTTTGGGTGGCTTCATCTTCATCTTCTTCATCTGTTTAAAACACGGGAGACATCTCCCGTCACGCTGGGTGCAGTCGCACCTCCACAGATCTCCAGTATCATCTATTGATACTGGTGATGGCTCAAAAGGGCCACCACTTACCAATTCATGCCCGTGCCACCTATTGGGTGGCTTCATCTTCATCTTAACACATTCACAAGGGAGACATCTCCCATCATGCAGGGTGCATTCGCACCTCCACAGATCTCCAGTATCAGCTCTTGATACTGGTAATGGCTTAAAATGGCCACCACTTACGGGCTATTCATGCCCGTGCCACCTTTTGGGTGGCTTAATCTTCATCATCATCATCATCATACAGCAGTGTCGTAGACGTTGAGACGGAGCTTGGAGCAGAGCAGAGCCGAGAGCCGAGTGTGGTCGGAGTCGCGGAGCTCTATGTGGGAGAGCGTTGTAGCTCGATGTGGTCCTAGTCTACCGTCTGTTCTGTGTCGAAGCTGTAGCGTCTTTGAGAAGATTAGAACTGCCTACGCAGAGTGCTACACTTGTACTGTTGTCTATTCTCATGTCGCTTCCTTATATTTGGTGACTACCCCCATACCTTTCTCTACTAGGATAGGAGGATGTGAGAACTGTTACCTGTAATTAGGGATATGATTATAGCTTGTGTAGTTAGTGCTAATTAGTTACGCCATTAAGATAATGGAGCGAGTATAAGGATTACTCGCTACAAGCCCACCACCTAGGTGGGCTAAATGCGTGGGGCTCAACCATGCCAAGGAAGTGGAAGGGGAACACAGAATCAATCAGCTTGGAGAATCAATCAGCGTCAGAGATGAAGCCCGGTCTGGGTCCAATATAGCTGGGACTACAGAGCCAAATCTTTCATCGCCCTACTCGGGGAAGGGGAAGCCCTTGTCGCATATCCTTCGAGCCTGAGTTTGAGATTTAATTTTCCATGCATCACTTTTAAACGTTTAGACCCTGGAGCCAAGGGATGCCAACTACAATACATCAAGGGAAGCGCAGCGAGAGCCAGTGCAGATAAAAAAAAAAAAAAAAAAAAAAAAAAAAAAAAAAAAAAAAAAAATAGTGCGCGCGTCATCCCCAGAGATCCCCGCCATTTTAACATGGGGCAATCCTACTGCATCGTACATTTTTCTTTTCACTGGTGCAAAGACCTCTTTGTCCTTCGCCACAGCCTGGACACTCCAAGGGTGGCCCCTCACTGGCGACTCCTCCAGAGGGTGGTCCTACTTTGCACGTACAAGCCCCAGACAGAGTAAAAGAGGGGACCCAGTGACAATAACGCCAGCCCCCTCACCATGAGGTGAAACCTCTTGAGAGGAATTATGGAAGTTTTATAATAGTTTGTTTTGAAATTCTAAAACCTTGTTGTAGTTGTTGCTTAAGCAAGTTATAATTTATTTAGTATAAACTTCACCGATATAATGTGTTTGGAGTAAACCTTATATTGATAAAGAATGTATTTTTGTGCGCCGGGTGAAAATAAATACCTTGTACCATAAGCGATATCACTTTTATTAATTTAAATTATCATCAAATATTTGCAACTGTATGGAACGTTTTGACACTGCGAGTTGTAGTTACTTAAGCTACTATTTTAACGATGAAGAACATTAAAGAATCCCTTTTAATGTTACCAAAATATCTTAAGCAGACATTAAAAATCAAGACGTGTTCAAATAATTAACCGAAAATTTTGTAAACTTCATTAGAACTCTTCATTGTAAGTTTATTTGAAAAACGCAGCGATTACCATCACCAAAAACACTAATGTTTAACACTAGTAGTCTATTTACAATTATAAATCTTTAGAAACAATAATGAGTGTCTGTTTAAGACATTCCATACTTAAATAATCTAATAGCTTTATATTAACATCCTTCTCTGAACATTGGCTATAACTGCCTATCTGGATTCCTGCATGTTCCAATGTTTCTAAAATACCGAGACAACGAGTTCTATTTAACTCTTTTAAGTAACATTCATGAGGGAAATCCTAGTAGTTGAAAAGTTATCATTCACATGTTGTTCCTTGTGCCTTGATAGAGCAGCTTTGGTTTTGTACATCAACTGGCATATAGGACACTGGTATGGTACATCCGTGGTGTGATTCTTTATATGTTGAGCTGCATCAATTTTGAGTGCAAAGTCTTGTAGACAAACTGCACATTGGTACGGCTTGGGAATGTATTCCGCCTCGTGACGAGTTGTATGGATAGGCTTCGAACTCTTATCACATTCCAAACACCATCTCGGCTTTTTCTTTAAATGAACACTTTTTATGTGTCTCATTAATGCAGGTTCTGTTGGCAAGTCCATGAAACACTTTGTACACTTGAATGGTTTCTTTCTAGTGTGAATTAGAGAATGCTTTTCTATCTGAGAGTACCTGGCAAAGAGACGAAAACAGATGGAGCACTGATAAGGTTCTCGCAGCGAGACAGATATCCTCGAAGACACTGCAATTAGAACAAAGTTACTTTTAATGAAGCGACTACGAGTCATTTTGAGACATTAACGACTTTCTTTTGCGCCATATTTTATTGAAAAGTTAAAGCTGTATAGATTTCATTGGCATTTAAATGCTTGGAGGCTTTGTATTCTATCTACTCTTAAAGCTATACAACTGGCTGACCCCCCCCCCATCCCCTAGAGCGGCCCTTATAGTTACACTGTAGGTTTTCGTTTGCTTGGGCAACCCCCCCCCCCCACCCCTCCCGCCTCTACCATTTATGCTGCTTCCGCCAATTTCTGTACATTAATAGAGCATATAAAGCCGATTTGGGTTAATTAGCCAATATATCTCCACTCTGCTAATGTATAGGCAACCCTTTCAGTCACTTCACCTCGCACGCAGATACCAATATTACAAAATAGAGAATCCCCGACACAAACTACATATAGAAAAAAAAAAAAAAACTTCCCCCACCCCCTGTTCCTTCCCTAATTGCCCAAAAGAAGGATTGATTGCTTGATGGCTAGAGATTAAGCCACTCAAGAGGTGGCACGGGCATGAATGGCCATTCATGCCCGCGCCATGCAGGAAAACAGCATGTCAAGGATTTGGGAATAATGATGTCCGACGATCTAACGTTAAGGGAGCATAACCAAGCAAATATCGCGTCAGCCAGAAAAATGATCGGATGGATTACGAGAACTTTCAAATCCAGGGATCCCATCACAATGGTTGTACTCTTCAAGTCACTTGTGTTGTCCCGTCTTTAGTACTGCTCAGTACTCACTTCCCCTTTCAGAGCAGGAGAGATTGCTGAAATTGAGGGAATACAGAGAACATATACGGCACGCATAGACGAGATAAAACACCTAAATTATTGGGATCGTCTCAAAGCTCTCCAAATGTACTCACTAGAAAGGAGACTAGAGATATACCAAATAATATACACATGGAAAATACTGGAGGGACAGGTCCCAAATCTACACAGTAAAATAACAACGTACTGGAGTGAACGACATGGAAGAAAATGCAGAATAGAACCAGTGAAGAGCAGAGGTGCCATAGGCACAATCAGAGAACACTGTATGAACATTAGAGGTCCACGGTTGTTCAACGTCCTACTAGCGAATATCAAATATTACAGGAACAACCGTTGACATCTTCAAGAGGAAACTAGATTGTTTCCTTCAAGGAATGCCGGACCAACCGGGCTGTGGTGGGTATGTGGGCCTGCGGGCCACTCCAAGCAACAGCCTGGTGGACCAAACTCTCAAGTCAAGTCTGGCCTCGGGCCGGGCTTGGGGAGTAGAACAACTCCCAGAACATCAACCAGGTATCAACCAACCAGGCCTGTAAGTTGCACACAAGGGCAATCTTTCCTAAATGTACCTGAACGAGGACAACCACCACCTGGGCCCTGTACCCTTCATGCTCCGAGGCTTGGCATGATCTGAGCATGTCCCGGCACTCACTCCTCGCCAGCCTGGCCTCCGCACTCTCCTGCACGCTACAACATCTAGGCAAATTATTTACTACTAAACTAATTCATAGCTTGTTACCGTGTCTTAACCAGGCGAAGAGTTAGGGGTGACATGATAGAGGTTTACAAGTGGATGAATGGACATAACCGGGGGGATATTAATAGGGTATTAAAAGTATCAACACAGGACAGAACACGAAACAATGGATATAAATTGGATAAGTTTAGATTTAGGAAAGACTTGGGTAAATACTGGTTCAGTAACAGGGTTGTTGATTTGTGGAACCAATTGCCGCGTAACATTGTGGAGGTGGGGTCCCTCGATTGTTTCAAGCACGGGTTGGACAAGTATATGAGTGGGATTGGGTGGTTATAGAATAGGAGCTGCCTCGTATGGGCCAAAAGGCCTTCTGCAGTTACCTTTGTTCTTATGTTCTTCTTATGTTCTTACTTTGTTGTCGATAAAAACTGACACCATAGGAAGCAAGACTAATCACTAGTGTCAAGTGTAATATTGGATAATCTACCTTACAAGTTGATAGAAGTATGGTATGCTATTAGTTATTGTATTAAAGATGACCAAACTATTGACTTGAGAATGGTCCAGGACGGACCGAAACGTCGGCATCCCTTCACCTTCTAGGGTGTGGTCTGGGCAACATTTCTGCCACGTTGTGACTCCTCGTCTACATGACCAAACTATTGTGAAAAAAAACTTGGGTGAAATTATCGTCCAGTCTATCAATATTTGTGCAGCAGAAGTTATTCGTAGTTAATGTCTTTAGTAAATCAACAAGTGAAAAGATAAACGAGTATAATTACCGTTAAATGATGAAGATTTCGACAAACTGTAAAGTCCCATTTTGAAGCCTGTCTTGCGGCAAGCTGGTGTTACCCGCCACACAGTACCTGCAACAAGGATACTCTCTACACCCCTGCAACACATAGCATAGGACTTTGTATGTTCAACGAAGCAGACACCTCTGTGTTTGTTGCAGGGGTGTACACCCCTGCAACACCAGCAAACACATCGAGAGGGGTGTGGTTCGTTGAATATACAAAGTCCTATGCTATGTTCAGTACAAAAGTGTATTTGCAGCGAGCACTTGTGGCCTTAGGAGGTTAAGGCCACAGGTGTTAACTTGCACTATCACAGTAAACAGTACCCATGATCTTTCGGCACAGTTTTCCCTGTTATCTTATATCACACCAGATGGTTTGTCAAGTTGGCTTACAGGCGGTCCTATCTAGCAGTTAACTAACTCCGTGTTAGTTAACCGTTGTGGGTTGCATCCTAGGGAAGATCAGAAGCCTAATTTGGGCCATCTTCCTAAGGTTAACACGCTTTTTCTCCCAGACATTAAACTTCACCTGCCATGCCTCTTTCGGTGGTATTTATAGTAACGATGAGAACCATAGTATATATACTGACATACAACAATTAGAAAGTAGAAATCGGTACACAGGGCGAGCAGCACACTGGGTGGTGGGCGAGCGACGACACACTGAGCACTCTGGTACACCTGGCTACCCTTCTCACCTCTTGCTCGTTAACATTACACGGTTTTCCTCTTTAATGTGATGGGAGAGGCATCTAGCTCGGGAAGGAAAAATGGAGACCAATGCAGTGAGACATTATGCATGTTATAAGCAAATGTTTAATGTATATATCACTTATTTTATACTACATATCATGAGGGGCAAATTAGCACCAACACACTGAAGCGGTCGTGCCCCAACCCGTCCTCACACTTGGCTGTTTAATGCAGCGGCCGCCCTCCCCAGACGCATTCATCAATTTTAACATACTTTGTATTAAAAATTGGTTTGTTCTCATATAAATTATTATTATAATACATAAAAATTTTATGTATAGCTAGGCGTAGGTTAGGTTAGGTGTTTAGGTTCTGTTGGCGATTATTTGTGTTTGAAGTACGTGGGTGAAGCATTTATAGATTTGTGACTCGAACAGAGGGCGTGAGCGAAGCACTTGCTCGGGAAGTATTAAGACGTCATCATTTGTGAATCGTTTTTCATCAGACCATCCTCCGAATAGACAGTACGTTTTAATACTAAATGTAATAAATGGGTATATATTGGAGAAGTTTAGATTTAGGAAAGACTTGGGTAAATTGCCGCCCGAAACGCTTTGCGTAATAGTGGCTTTAGGCATTGTATGTACTAGCTCTATCTATAAATCCATCAACTTTGTATCTTACCTTGTATGTATGTACCTTACCTGAATACAAATTTATTTATTTATTTATTTATGAAATACTGGTTCGGTAACAGGGTTGTTGATTTGTGGAACCAATTACCGCGTAACGTGGTGGAGGTGGGGTCCCTCGATTATTTCAAGCGTGGGTTGGACATGTATATGAGTGGGATTGGGTGGTTATAGATAGGAGCTGCCTCGTATTAAAGTCACCCATGACATAAATACTGTTAGATCTAGATGCTCTAGATATTTCATCCCATAGATGCTTTGCTTCCATTCTGTCTAAATTTGGTGGCTATATATAACTCCTATTATAATATTATTTGCTTTTTCGTTTAATTCTATCCAAATAGTTTCTGTGTGTGGCTCAGTTTTGATTCCCTCTTTAAGACTACATTTCAAATTGTCCCTAACATATATGGCTACTCCACCTCCTCGTCTAATATATCTATCTGTGTGAAATAGTTTAAATCCATTTATTTGATATTCAGCTAATAGTTCTCTATTTTCTACATTCATCCACGTTTCGGTAAGTGCAATAATATCTATTTTTCTGCACAGACAAGAGCATTTAATTCGTTTATTTTGTTCCTAAGACTTCTATTCTTAGTGTAATATACCCTAAGTGTATTGTTATTTTGATGCATCATTTTGCCAATTTGTTTCTCCCACAAACACATACTTTTACTACCTCCTTCCTCCCTATCAATTCCCATACCACTATCTACTAACAGTTTAAACCCAAACAAACACCTCTAACCACTGGTTCCAACGAGTTCGCAACAGCAACAACCCCAGCCCTCGATAGATGCACCCCATCACGAGCATACATTTCATTTCTTCCATAGAAGTGTTCCCAGTTATCTATGAAAGATATTGCATTTGATTTGCAATATCTTTCCGGCCGGCAATTGACACCAAGTGCCCTCGACAACCATTCATTTCCAACTCCTGTGTCATTCCATCCTTGACCCTATGGAGGGTCCCACTTACAAAGTGTTGCAAGATCCTAACTTACATGGTAAAATCTTATACCCATCCTAGTTATGAAACTTCTTTTCCTCTAACACTTTTCTTCACAATTTATTGCCCTATTCACAGATGGATCTAAGTCTGCGGACAATGTTGGTTACTCCATTGACTTTCCTGACCAAAGCTAGAATGTGCCACCTGCCCTGGACACTAGCATCATTACCGAGGAACTTTATGCAGTCTTGCATGTACTTCAACTGCTTCTCTGAGGTCAGCGTTCCAAGTTTCATTGTGGTTGACTCTCAGTGCCCTCATGGCATTAGTCATTCAACACAACAGTATGTATCCTGTATACTGGCTGTTTCTTGAGGTTATCTTGAGATGATTTTGGGTCCCAGTCCGGTTTTCAGCGTAGCATCCCGGTCCTCGACCAGGCCTCCTTTTTGTTACACATCCCCAGGAAGCAGCCCATAGCAGCTATCTAACTCCCAGGTACCAATTTACTGCTAGATGAACAGGACCATCAGGGTGAAAGAAACTCTGCCCATTTGTTTCCGCCTCTGCCGGGGATTAAACTTGGAATCTTAGTGCTACAAATCCGGAGCGCTGTCCACTCTGCCGTGAGGCCACTTTTGTTGCTAGCAGATTTTTGCAGGGTTCCCAGCCATATTGGTATTGCCTTCAATAAACATGCAGCTACTGCCACTAAGGAGGCAATTTGCATTTTTCCTATTTCCAAAATAGGCATTCCTTATTCAGAGTAATACTGTCATTCATTCCTCAATCCAAGACTGCTGGTGGGGTCATTGGTCTTCCCAGTTTGGCACCTTCTTTTGATAATTACTCATTAAGCTACAATTTATAGTAACAATGTATAATTTTTCTTTCCTCTTCAGACACAAAATACACAACTAGATCAAAAGTATCAATGAAACTCAAGGTAACCATTTATCCAATTTATTATTTTAACTATAGATATTACAAGAAAACCTTCAAAGCATTTTCACTAATAATCACAAACATTTTCTGTTGAGAACAATACATTATTACACTTGCTATAATAATTTTATTTTGCTTCCTTAGGAATACCACAAAATGAAACAAAAACAAGTATTTTTGTATTTTAATGTTACTTCGATAAATATGAATTAAACAAATATCACTTGCTAAAACTAATAGATATGACCTATATACAGCTATTTTTCTAAGGGTGAAATGAAGGAAAGAAACTTAGGAAAATATAATTTATTTTACAATTTACAAATGTACAAAACTATATATATATATACTCTATGTATATAATATAAAAATGAAAAACTATATTCACAACAATTGAGCCTGCATGCAGAACTCTGCCATGTTAAGCCACTAGGCAGGGCTGGTGCCTGCCTCAATCATATCACTACATGGTAACCATTGTATATTGTTGAGAGCCTAAACCCAGCCTACACATTGAGTACAGTACTTCTTTTTTTATTTCAAGATGCAAGATGAACTAATTTCTTTGCAAAGCTTCACATCTTAACAGACACCACTGCTTTGTGGCATGCTAACATGTTGCATAATGGCACATTCTTATCTGGTATTAAGATTGGAAAATATACATTGTGAAATAACATAGGACTAGACTTCATCTTTTTTACACACGCAAACCTAACAAACATCCACATAACATTTGGAAGAATGGTGAACGTCAATACTTTGCACAGCCAGAATCGTAGAAACGAATGTGTTGACCACATTCATTTAACAATGGACATGGTATGGTCATTTAAATTATCATTCACCCACCTACACCCAAAACTCATCTTTCGAGGCACAGATATTTCTACTACAGAGGCTGACAATTTTCTTTTTGCATTAGAGGCACTTCATTCAACACAATGGACACATGACAGCCGACAAACTCTCCCATCATACAATCATAACACTCATAAAAATATATGCCACCAGAGTAGACACACGTAGTACAGATTGAGCATTAATGAGCCGTACCCTTGTACATATATACTTTAAATTTCGTGATTTACACACATACTGTATATTTTATATTCAATAACTTACGGCAGCCAAAGTAAAAATGTCACTATACATCAGTAGAGTGAAAACTGCATGAATTTGGTAAAGGCAAAAAGATTTTGTCGAAATTTTCTGTCGAGCCAGTACACAAACTGTCGACTTCTTAAGAAATACATAACCAAAATCATCAAGAACATTATGGAGAAGCATCTATATTAATGTCAATGATATTTCCCTGCATGATCAATATAAAATATTTTTTTTTCAGTAATGAAGTACAGTACCTCAATTTAATATGTTCAGAAAAGATAACATCATTCCAAAAATGAATTAACCAGGATTAAATTGTTTGAATGTTAAGAAATCAATTTATTTTAAAATTTGCATCACAAATATTCCAACCGAGATGTAAATCACTGGTAATCCCAAACTAAAAAGTATAAAAAAAAATATTTACTGTAAATAGAAGTGATTGAAAATAGAGAACTTTACTCTAAGAAGAGGAATTTTAAATAAAATGAAAAATAATAAGCATTGCTGTACGACTAATACCTGCAGATTGTGACTCGGGAAGGAAGAATACGAGCTTGAAATTTGGTGCAGAATAACCCTCAGCACCAAGACTTTTTCATCCATTTTGAAAATAAAACTTTGACGTCTCATCACAACTCAACACACACACAAATAATGAGAATCTAGTTTAGAATGCCCATCATCTGGGAACTCAACAACTGTTTTAATCCACAGTGCACATTACACCTTAAATACACACTGCACTATTATACTTTTTTATAGTACAAGCAACAATTTCCTAGTGCTTCCAGATGAGCTAAAAACATCAAATTGTGAGAAATGTCAATTAACACACGTCATAATAAAATGCATTGTTCATTCAATCACAATTTAGAATGGGGTTTCATCGGCATAATTATTAATGAAGTTTACATAATTGAGCACAGCCCAGACAACTCCACACCACGTCCTACTGATGGCTGTTCTATCAATTCAACATCTTTGAAAGACGGCTTCAGCTCGTAGTCTACTGTGAATGGTGGCGGTACAAATTCTTCTATGTCTTCCTCAATGCTACTGGAATTAAGTAAGCTGTGATCTGAAAAGTAAAGTACAATTTTAGTTTATGAATAATTAGCAAGTTTAATTTTATTAATCAACCTCCTGACTAAATATAATCCCTGAGCTTGCTTCAGGGTACAGTATTTTCCAAAATATTGTGCATCAGATTATTTTGACAACTGAAATAATTACTAAAGAGTTTGACATTTACCAATCAGCTGTTACTGGCTTGTAATTAACAACAAATAGGGAATGATCATATATTATTACCCCCCAATTTCCCACTTTTACAAGGTGGCGAGATATTTGAAGACGATAGGACCAGAAAAAGAAATTATTTCTATAATTTCTGTCTGTAACACACAATTCTTTATGTTTGACGTTTTACATTGTCTCAGCCACACACGTCTGCAAGCTGCCACTCATTCATGCTGACATCTACCTCCATCTATTCATAATCTTTTTATAACTATGGTTCTCACTGTACTAGCCAATTATTCTACTTTCAATTTCTATTACAAAATCCCTCTTATCAACCCCACATCTCAGGGTTGTAGACAGACTGAACACTTTCAACATTCGTAATTCACAGTTCCATTTCTCTCTCTACCATTAGAACTTTTACTGTTGTGTCTACTTTCATTTTTATCACACCTCGCCACAATTTCACTCTTGTCTATGCATATAACTTATCTCACTTCGATAAAGGAATTATCATCTGCACACATCAAATTTGACATGCTCCAAATGCTCTTACTAGGCCTATACATTTTGTTTACCGCTCACTAGCCTTGACCTCCCTCATGATCCTATCCATGTACAATATATACCAAATAACCAGAGTAACATTGCATAGCCCTGGTGTACATTTGCATTATTATCAATATAGTCACTACACTATAAGCTCTTGTACAGTACATACAAACTTTTGACAGCACTTAAAATTTGGCTAACTTGATACTCATCACTCTCCAAAGTTCTCCTCACTTGATTAAATGCCTTTTCAGTCCATCCTCTCCTTTTGGTAGTATAGTACTTATAGTAGTGATGAGGACCATAGTACAGTATATATACCAACGTACACCAAAATTAGAAATTAGAAATCTGAACTATTGAGTTACTATAACCAGAAACCAGAAAATATACATATATCCTTTAGTACAGTACTTCCAACAGAGAATCACTTGAGCTTTTAAACTACTGGGATTGCCTGATAGCACTGAAAGTGTACACCTTGGAGTGGAGATAAGATATACCGTAAATGTACACATGAATATTATGGGAAGGTCAGGTTCTAACAGTGCACAATAAAATTATATAGTTCTGGAGCACAGCGTACACAGAAACGATAAAATATCTAAATTACTGGAACTGTCTCAAAGCCCTTAAAACGTAATCTCTGGAAAAGAGATGGGAAAGGTATCAAATAACATATACATGGAAGATACTTGAAATCCAGGTCCCAAATTTGTACAGTAGAACAACAACATACTGGAGCAAAAGGTATGGAAGGAAATGCAGAATAGAACCAGTGAGGAGTAGAGTTGCCATAGGCACAATCAGAGAACACTGTCTGAACATCAGAGGTGCACAGCTGTTCAACACCCTCCCAACAAGCATTAGAAATATTGCTAGAACAAAGGTGGATGTATTCTAGAGGCACTTGGACAGGGTCTTGCAGGAAGTGCCAGACCAACCAGGCCGTAGTGGATATGTGGGCCTGCAGGCCACTCCCAGCAACAGAAGTGGACCAAGTTATCACAAGTTGAGCCTGGCCTAAGGCCGTGCTCAGTGAGTAGAACTCTCGAAACTCTCTCCAGGTAGTAAAGAGATACAGAAGGAAATAATAAATACAGTAAACCCAATAAAATGTAGGGTGCCATTAGTACAAGTGGATATGATGGCCGAGTGGGTCTGAGCGTTACGAGGACAACCTCACAGCCCAGAAAATCACCAGAAATTTTAGGCTGAGCAGAAATTTTGCTGAAATTTTCTACATATATTTTCCATCTAATAATTCACATCAACTAATACAATTATTCTATATTTTCTGAATAACATACCAATTGCATTTTTTAAGCTACCCTAATATGACTTTATATTCATGCCTTCTCCAGATTTTACTAACACTCGCTCCTCTCCTCATGATTTACAAACATGCATAAGCATTACAATCACCTTCTGTAGTTGAGTGTTCAATAACCCAGTGCACAATATATAGGAAAACAGATCTCCAACACTATAATAAGACAGATGAAAATATGCAGTATCTATGCAGGTTGGCAATATAGAAGCACTTCAATCACCTTTTGTGGTTGAGAGCTCCATAACTTACTACACTGTAAATTGTCTAACAGTTCTCTAACTCTGCCCTGTAGACACCAGAAGAAAATGTATATATGATGAATCCACCTCAAGGCTGTTGACCAGACCACACACTAGAAGGTGAAGGGACGACGACGTTTCGGTCCGTCCTGGACCATTCTCAAGTTGAATCGACTTGAGAATGGTCCAGGACGGACCGAAACGTCGTCGTTCCTTCACCTTCTAGTTTGTGGTCTGGTCAACATACTTTAGCCACGTTATTGTGACTCATCGCCTGCACCTCAAGGCTCCTACTGATTTTCTCATATATACTGCTGGTTACCATTGTAAATGAACAACCGCATCAGTGGTAGAAACTAACAAATAACTAACAAATATATATACATATATAACTAACAATAATGTAGCTCCAAAATATACTAACACTCACTCACTTCTCTCCATAATTTATCAACATTAACTTCCCTATTATATGATTTACAAACAACTATTCCCAAGCTAGTTATATATAATATCTATAATCCAAAATATAGGTATAAAACAAGCTAGAACAATTCACAGCTGTACTTGACAACAATCAATAGCTATACCTAAACAATAATCCACAGTTGTACCCCAACAACAATCAATGCCTCTACCCTAACAATAATCCACAGCTATACCCTATGAACAGTCTACAGCTGTACCCAAACAACATTTTACAGCTGTACCCAAACAATACAAATATATAACTTACCAAGTTTTTTATTTTCGCTACTATTTTCATTATTATTTAAATTGTTGTTATTGTTGTTGGTGCTGCTGTTACTTAGACTTGGCTTGGACATGTTAAATTTAATCTTTGTGACAGTGGGGTTTGTATGGGATGTGCCCGAGTTGGACAGCTCTGTGTTCCCGTCAATGGAACTGGCAATGTCTGTTTCCGCTGCATTAACCGGCACAATCGTTGGTTCAACCATCTCTTCGTTGCTCTGCAGAAACAAACAAGCAATGATTTAAATGATAACATTTACTCAGGCTTTCATCTTTTAATGCATTTGTCTTATAGTGAATCAATTTCAAGATGGTTTACGAAAACTATCGAGATCACACACAAATTCACTAAACAAATTCCTGCATATGAAATTATATAAAATGTAAAAATAAACTATAAGCAAATGAAGATAATACAAAGCTCTAAAGCACCATAAATAGTTCATTGTACTTAATTAATAATTGATTACACTTAATTACTTTAATTATAATATTTTCCCTTGACTTAAAACCCAGAGGTGAGAATGCCCATTGCTGGAGTTAGAGCTTTCTACCTGAAGGGAACTTATGAAAACTTGAAATAAAGGTCACAGTATTAAAAAGCTTCAAGCCAGGACACTACAGGGATCAGTCTCAAGCACTATCTCAGCAATCATTACCTGACTTAAAAACTGACCTCACGGTGCTAAAGCACCTCAAGAAGTCTATTCATATCTTGGATTTGTAGTGAAGCATAAGCATACTCCCTCTAATGAGTATACACCGGCACTCACACAAGAAAACAATGAAAACAAATTCACTGATATACCTAAACCCAAGCTTTGATCTGATTTATTATAACCATCTCAACAACCACTGGTAAGGTCTTCCATTTTAATCTTACAGCTTCTATCCATATTGGAATACCTAAACTTGGCCTTAACCTTCTTCCACCTATAAATACTTTAAAACTGATATGGTCCAAATCCCTTGCATTCACTCTCCCTGCTTAAATACATCTATCACTGATAGAAATTTGAGTCACTGTATCTTTTAAAATGTGTTAAAAATAATGCCAACAACACCTATACCTTCTCTTCACCTCTCTTGTCCATGTACCACCCGGCTATCAACACCACAATACTGCAAAATGCTCGACCTTAACCTCATCATAATTACCTGTAACTAAATCTGTCCTATAATACCACAGACACCAATCTTCTCCCCAATACAGTACCAGTTTTTGAGCATTACATCTAGCCCCCCAATCACAACCATAACATGCACCCAATCTTATCAAATATGATCAAATTTGGATTTGATCACTAAAATCCCAGATCAAGCTGTAGCCTATTCCCAAACTGTCACCTCTAAAGTTTATATCAATTCCTAGTTTATAATCATTCTATAAATTATATCTTCTATATTCCTACTCCTGAATATTATATATATTCCTAGACCATAATCAATCAAGTGCATGTCAAGGGCTCCATCTATTAACCTCATTGGGCAAAATGCTGGAATCATCTTCGTCCTCAGGTGATCTGGAAATGAGATCGGCTTCGTTGCATTCGGCAGGTTCCTGTTTCACCTCCTGCTTGATCATCATACCCACTGGGAGAGACTGCTGGAGAACAGGGAAGCATGTGCTCAATGGGCTATGACAAAATTGATTGGATGGGACATATAGGCAAACTACCAAGCAACTAAACAAAATATTCTTAGGGATAAAAATTAAACTAGGTAGAAATAAAGCTGATAAATGAGATACGATACTACAACAAAATATTCAGGGATAAAGGAATGATGGCTGCTTATAATTTTCAGAATAAACACTAAACATTGGTATTATCTACTAATATACAGTATATGATTTCATAAAATGCAACTCAAACTTGACCACGAGGTAAAATGAGATAGTATCTAGTCTTTGTAAATAAAACCAAAAGGAAAACTTGCAAATGTATCCTCAGTTTTGGGTATAGCAAAAATTACTGAATAAAATTTTTTTAGTGTCCGTATTTCTGTTCCAAAACCCAATACCATTCAATATGACTTAAGATAGCCTCAGTCATGGGCCCCACACAGCTTTCCTTTCTTACCGATGAATTTCCACCATCGAGATCAATTTCTTCAACTTCCATTGGCTCCTCTTTGATGCGTAGAGCTGACTTAGACTCCAGGGACATCTCCTCTAGTTTCTCCGTCACTAGAAATACACACAGTAAAAATATAATTCAACTACATCCATTCAGTTACAGATAATAAAAAAAAAAATTTCAACAATTAGTATTGTATGTAACTAAAACCTTATTAGCCCTCCAATGAGAAAACTTCCCTTCAGATACTCAACTATGGAATCTAAAAGCTAAGAAATATTATACTTTAAATTTTATTTTTTTTTCTAAAACCATGTCTTCTCCTGGCCATGAGAGCACATCCAGTTTGATCCTGAACAAAACCTTCCATAACACAAGGGCACATCCAGTTTGATCCTGAACAAAACCTTCCATAACACAAGGGCACATCCAGTTTGATCCTGAACAAAACCTTCCATAACACAAGGGCACATCCAGTTTGATCCTGAACAAAACCTTCCATAACACAAGGGCACATCCAGTTTGATCCTGAACAAAACCTTCCATAACACAAGGGCACATCCAGTTTGATCCTGAACAAAACCTTCCATAACACAAGGGCACATCCAGTTTGATCCTGAACAAAACCTTCCATAACACAAGGGCACATCCAGTTTGATCCTGAACAAAACCTTCCATAACACAAGGGCACATCCAGTTTGATCCTGAACAAAACCTTCCATAACACAAGGGCACATCCAGTTTGATCCTGAACAAAACCTTCCATAACACAAGGGCACATCCAGTTTGATCCTGAACAAAACCTTCCATAACACAAGGGCACATCCAGTTTGATCCTGAACAAAACCTTCCATAACACAAGGGCACATCCAGTTTGATCCTGAACAAAACCTTCCATAACACAAGGGCACATCCAGTTTGATCCTGAACAAAACCTTCCATAACACAAGGGCACATCCAGTTTGATCCTGAACAAAACCTTCCATAACACAAGGGCACATCCAGTTTGATCCTGAACAAAACCTTCCATAACACAAGGGCACATCCAGTTTGATCCTGAACAAAACCTTCCATAACACAAGGGCACATCCAGTTTGATCCTGAACAAAACCTTCCATAACACAAGGGCACATCCAGTTTGATCCTGAACAAAACCTTCCATAACACAAGGGCACATCCAGTTTGATCCTGAACAAAACCTTCCATAACACATGGGCACATTCAGTTTGATCCTGAACAAAACCTTCCATAACACAAGGGCACATCCAGTTTGATCCTGAACAAAACCTTCCATAACACAAGGGCACATCCAGTTTGATCCTGAACAAAACCTTCCATAACACAAGGGCACATCCAGTTTGATCCTGAACAAAACCTTCCATAACACAAGGGCACATCCAGTTTGATCCTGAACAAAACCTTCCATAACACAAGGGCACATCCAGTTTGATCCTGAACAAAACCTTCCATAACACAAGGGCACATCCAGTTTGATCCTGAACAAAACCTTCCATAACACAAGGGCACAACCACAGTTAACATATAATTTGGAAAAAAACTGTCTCTTCCTTACATTATAGGACAAATATGTTAAGTGTTTACCTGAATTGTACCTATACCTGGATAGGGTTCTAGGAGTTTTTCCACTCCCCAAGCCTGGCCAGGGGCCAGGATTGATTTGTGAGAGCTTGGTCCAACAGGTTATTGCTTGGAGACCCACATATCAACCACAGCCCGGTTGACCCAGCACTTCTTGAAGAAAACTATCTAGTTTTCGCTTGAAGACGTCCACGGTTGCTCCGGTAATATTTCTTATACTGTAATCGCTGGGATGATGAACAACCGTGGACCTCTGATGTTTATACAGCGTTCTCTGATTGTGCCTATGGAACCTCGGCTCTTCTGCATTTCCTCCATATCATTCATTCCATTACGTTATTTTACTGTATAGATTTGGGACCTGGCCCTCCAGTATTTACCATGTGTATATTATTTGATACCTCTCTCATCTCCTTTCTAGTGAGTACATTTGGAGAGCTTTGAGATGATCAAAATAGTTTAGGTGCTTTATCATACTTATGTATGCTGTATATGTTCTCTGTATTCCCTCTAACCCTGCTCAGAAGGTGGAAGTGAGTATCGAGCAGTACTCAAAACAAAACAGCACAACTTATTTGAACAGTACATACAACCATCATGATCAAATCCCTGGATTTGAATAGTACATATAACCATTATGATCGGATCCCTGGATTTGAAGGTTCTCATAATCCATTCTATAATTTTTCTGGTTGATATTATATTTGCTTGGTAATGCTCCCTAAATGTTAGGTTATCAGACATCATTATTCCCAAATCCTTTACATGCTGCTTTCCTTTTATGGGCAGATTTGATTGTATTTTGTACCCTGTATTTTGCTTAAGGTTCTCATACCTAACTGTTCCTAGATGAAGCACAATTTAGCTCTTGGTCCACACCTCATAGCTAGTGTGCTTTAATATTTAGTAAACCAAAAACTAAATAAAGTAGAAGCAGTGACATACCTGAACCTTGACTATCCACTGGTACCTCCTCACTCCCTTTGTCGGCTCCTTTCTCTGGTGCTTGGTCTGAATCCTCCTTGTCCTCTTTATTCTTCTCAGCCCCATCTTCTTTATCCTCTTCTCCTTTTTCCTTTTCACCATCTTCTTTCTCCTCCTCTGCCTTTTCCTTCTCTGCTGCTTCCTTCTCAGCTGCTTCCTTCTCTGCTGCTTCTTTCTCAGCTGCTTCCTTCTCTGCTGCTTCAGCCTAAGTAAATAGATAATATATCAGATGTAAGCCAAACACTAATTTTATAACTTCATATTTCATGAGATCTTGTTTACATAAATTTCTATACCAATAACAATTATTTTTGAGTACAAATACAAGCATTACTTGGATGCAAAGTCAATGGCATGGCATTTATGGGTAACAGTTGTGAATACGACAGTCGGTAAATTATAATATCCAAGTGAGACAACTTGAAACCTTACTGCAATCTATGAACTAAGGATCAGGTAAAACTAGAAACCAATATTTCTCACCTTCTATTTTTTTAAATGGATGCCAATGCAAAAGAAATTCCATTTATCAGTACAATACACATTAAACAAATTACATGAAAGTAGTGTACTCAATGACTCACGATAGTGGATAAAGGACTTATAAGTAGTACGACTTATATATAAACAACAACCACAATACCAGTGACCAAGTAACACAATCGGGAAGAAAAGGGCAAGAAGCATCATGGTGAAATCCACATAATAATAATAATAATAATAATATAGAGAAATCACATTATCGTGATATATCAATGAGAAAATTCTCAAGAACCGTGAAGAAGATTCGAACCCATGTTCCCAGATGCACACTCTAGACGACTACGCCACGACACGGTAAAAAAAATTGCAACCTGGGGTACTACTGCACCCTCGTGGATTCCTGCGGCTTCTATTGAAGCCGAACCAAGGTTTCACACACCTTCCCCCGTGCACTTTCGCTCTGTCAGAGTGCAAGTCTAGAGCGTGCATCTGGGAACACCCAGCGCATAGGTTCGAATCCTCATCACGGCTCCTGTGGATTTTCTCAATAATAATAATAATAAATAATAATAATAATAACTATTTATTTGTTGACCAGACCACACACACTAGGAAGTGAAGAGACGACAATGTGACGTTTCGGTCCGTTCTAGACCATTCTCAAGTCGACTTGTGTGAGAATGGTCCAGGACGGACCAAAACATCATGTCGTCATCCCTTCACTTTCTAGTGTGGGGTCTGATCAACATACTTCAGCCACGTTATTGTGACTCATTGCCAACTATTTATTTGTATAAAAAAAAAAAAAATACCAATTATGTTATAATGATTACCACGTACTGTACAGGAAGATATTAATTTAAGTGGTTCACAGGAATATCAGCATGATGCCACCACCATTGACCACTTTCCGTCCACGAAGCATAATACTACTACAACACACTAAGTCATGTGAATATTGTTTTAAGACATAAAAACAAAATCACGATCGAACAGAGTACACATGTATGCTAAAGTACATGTGCATGCTGAAGTGATGTTCATGTGTGTGTATGCTGAAGTGATGTTCATGTGTGTATGCTGAAGTGAATGTTCATGTGTGTATGCTGAAGTGAATGTTCATGTGTGTATGCTGAAGTGATGTTCATATACTGTATGTGTATGCTGGTGACGTTCATATATGTGTATGCTGGTGACGTTCATATATGTGTATGCTGGTGACGTTCATATATGTGTATGCTGGTGACGTTCATATATGTGTATGCTGGTGACGTTCATATATGTGTATGCTGGTGACGTTCATATATGTGTATGCTTGTGACGTTCGTACATATGTATGCTGGTGACATTCATATATGTGCAGATATGAATCACAATAATGTGGCTAAAGAATGTTAACCAAACAACACATTAGAAGATCAACCTTTCCGCCGAAAAGACAGTACGTTTTAATACTAAAAGTAATAATTAGATTCCTGACTGTCTGAATTGTACATAAACACACTTAATTGTGCTGTTACATTTACCTCCCCATATACAGTATTTTCCTAATTTTGTGTTAATACACTCAAAATTTTTAGGTTGAAGTTTTAGTGTTCAATTCTATATACACAAGTTTTAAATGTTAAGAATATCTTTTTCAGTTCTATTAAACAATAGAGATTTTATACAAAATTTGAAAATATCCTGAATTACATTATAATTTATTGAAAGATTTTAATTTTGTTTTATTAGTTTTATAAAATCGTAATATCACTATAGCTATAAGTACTAATTGTAATTAAGCAGCAATAAATGCTATTTACATGCTTGTCTTCCTACACTCCCAAGGTTAGGTTAGGTCATGGTTTTCTAAACAGCATTTCAGGTAAACTCTAATACTATATTCACAATATTTTGGTGCGATGCTGGCGATTAAGTGTATTTATGTACTATGCCGATAGTCAGGATAGTACTTATTACATTATTAAAACGTACTGTCTATTCAGAGGATGAGCCGAGAAGATGAAAAGATGACGACATTTATGTCCGTCCTGGACCCTTATCAAGTCGATTGTGATGAGACGAGAGAGGCACGGGCATAAGTAAGGCAAGAGAGAGGCGAGGAGGAGGAACTCTTAAGAGGAAGGTAAGAGCACGGTGAAAGATAGGTGCAATAAAGGATATGTAGAGGGGTAATAATAGAAATAAATGGGAACGAAAGAAAAAGTAAAAGAAAAAACCAGCGTTGAATGTAATGAAACGCCATTTTCTGGGTGAGACCCAGAGGCTCACCAGAGCTATACCTGACTGACCATGGCAACAGTCAATCGATGGAGTTCTACCAAACCAAGCACCATGAGCCAGAACCTGGCCCTCTCAGAGAGACATGAGGACACCTCTATGAAGTTGGAAGCAGTCTATGTCTGTCATCTACCAGGTTAGGCACCTAGAAAGGTAGGAATCCCAAAACAAACTACAGCTGGTTATAAACTGCAAACCGAAAGACGAACAAGTAAGCAAGGCTCCCCAATAAGAAAAAAAGCAAACAAGCATGATGTCACCACAGCCGCTGTCTGTGAAGGCAGACATCCCGCGCTGGCTACCCAACCCCAGTTCAGAGGCTGAATATAAAAAATGCGAAAAACTGCTGAGCGGAGGAGGGATGCCGGGAAGCCTCTGGGTCTCACGCAGAAAATGGTGTTTCATTACATTCAACTTTTTAGTTTTCTGTGGAGAGCTCCTTCGGCTCCCCGGAGGTACCTAACCAAAGATAAAGGAAAGAGAAGGACTTACCTGGGGGGCGGCCGCCACTCGCTCCTCATCTCGAAACAACTGGCTGCAACCGGCGACCCAAGGCTACACATGCCTGAGGGCCAGGAACAATATCGAGGTATCTCGGGCAAGGACCCTGTTCGCCGTTCAAAAACCTCATGCCCGAAAGTCAGCCCAGGACATATGACCAAAAACAGCAGTCAAAGTCGCAAACTTACAAACGTCGTGGGCACGGGGATAGATCGCAGGCTGGCTGGACTGAATAATCCTGTGAACAACCTGGGAGACCTGTGCCCTGGAACAGGGAAGTAGGGAAACTGGGTCAACCCAAAGCTCTTCCTCCTGCCATGGAGGTCATGTCGTGCGAGTAATAGCGAAGAGCCACTACCGGGCACAAAATATGATGCACCCCCAGCCGAAGTAACAAACCCAAAGACCCCTCTGGAAAGCAGCAGTCTCGTTCTTCTCCAGAAAAGAACGACAGCTACAAATGAACAAAACAACCACCAGGACCGAAAAAGCAGAAACTCTTGCGCTGGAGGAGAGCATGAAGCTCCCCGACTCAACCTCTCAGATGCCAATACCAACAAGAAAAAGAGCCTTAGAACCAAAGGGGCCAATACAAACTGAGGAGAAAAGAGAGCACCTGGTCCAACGACTAGGACGACTCAGGCGACACATTAGCAGGCTGGAGGTGAAACAACGCCCTCGAAAGCTTGCGGAACGGAGCATAAGTGACACCCATCCCAAATGCAAGCTGAAGTGGCTCCTCCAGCACTGCCGATACGAGGTAACAGTATTCGGTATCAACTGCAAAAATACCGTTTGATCAATTGTAGAATATAATATATTCATATGTCACATATATGAGCCCATAATTTTGAGCATAGCGATGTTCCACACATTGAACTATATAAATTCCACAAATTAAACACTTTTAATAATATTACATAAAAAAACAAAAGAAACTAATGAGAAACATCAAAATAATTGTAAAAATTTATATTCGCAGCAACTGCCGCCCCACGGAGTGGTGGGGCCAAGTGTTAGAGAGCACTTCTTCACTTGGTGTCCATAATTTGTTTAACTTCTCGGCTCCATCACGGCTAAAGTATATCACATGTAATATTTTATTTTAGTTTCCCGTGATCAGAGACAATATTTTAACAATATACGAAGAAAAAAATCATTTATTTTAATAATTTATTTTCGGCACAGCACGTTGGTTAAACATCACATTTTCAGTAGACCATAGAAAAATGAGATTAACATCAGATTGGAGGTTTGCTGAGTCCTCTATATTGTATAATATGAAAATCCTAGTGTCATCTGCAAAAGATGATACATTACTCTAGTTTGTATTCGTGCGTGTCTGATAAGAGGATGAGAAAATGTACTGGAGCAGGCACAGTATCTTCAGGGACTGAGCTTTTTTTTTCATGGTGGAATATGATATGGATTTCATTTTGTTGACTATTATACTCTGGGTTTTGTTCATTAGGGGGTTAAAGATCCATCTCCCTACTTTACCAGAAATTCCATTAATTCACATTTTGTGCGCAATAACACCATGGTCACATTTACCAAAAGCTTTTGCAAAATCCGTGTACATTACATCAGCATTTTGTTTGTCTTCTATGGCATCTAAGACCATGTTAAAGTGGTCGTGTAACTGTGAGAGGCAAGAATACCCTGTCCTGAACCCATGTTGCTCAGTGTTATGTAGACACTGACTGCATGTGTTTTGTGATCTTACTTCTTAGCACTTTTTGGCTCAAAGTTGCGCAGATTTTTAGTGCTAATGTGCCTATTTTCTCAAAGCACTGGTTTAAGTTTGCATTACCTAGCTGTCTTTCCCAGCATATTTCTGTGAGGACTTTATTTAATTGTTCTCAGTTAATCCATTTATCCACTAAAAATACTTCATTATTTAATCCATTATAAACTTCAGCACAGTATGCAGGCGATGAGTCACAATAACGTGGCTGAAGTATGTAGACCAGACCACACACTAGAAAGTGAAGGGATGAACCGAAACGTCGTCGTCCCTTCACTTTCTAGTGTGTGGTCTGGTCAACATACTTCAGCATTCAGCACAGTACTTTCAATGCAAATATTATGAAATATCTTTCTCGTCTCTGTTGCAGAACACAATATAAGTGCTCCGAGATGGTCCCAGTTGGTTAAATGCTTATCATTTCCATACAGGCAGTAAAAGTATCTTAATATTTTCTAGCTCTGACAATTCACCTACTTTGAAGGAAGATGTCAGGATGCCATTTGAAAGAGCACCAGTGCTTAGAATAGTGTTGCATCCCTTGTTTTGAAGTTTCTTAGTATCCACTATCTCAAGGAGATGCTACAATCTTACATGTTTTCATCAAGACCTCAAACTAGTCAACATGCAGTATGGTAAACAAACTAAAACGCCAAAATAAATAATTTAACCAAAGTTCCTAAAATTCCCCACTTACATACTATATGGTTATAATGCCAAAAAATGTTAGAACTTATATTTTCCACTATCCATATGACTGAAGTTTTACGTACCCTAAGCATATCCTGGTGACAGGCTGGGTGGAAGTTAACCCCTTCAACTTGGATCGCATTGTGATACCTCCATTCCTCAGTCTCCTGATGGAAGAACTGGGAGAAGGTGTCGTGGCAGCTAGGACACACTCCTAACGTAGAGTCCGAAGACACGGCCACACTTGGTTCTTCTGCATCTTCTGCTTGTATGGCCTCATCCATGCCCTCAGATTCAAACATACTAGGCACTGTTAAAACAAAGACATAGGTCAATACAGTACAATTACTGAATACAAGATATTGATGAACAGTAAGGAATATCTAATGTGAAAAAAGGAAGGGGAAAGAAAATTTACCTGCATTAAAGTTATCTATAATAAAATAAAATAACTTACTAAAACCCATCCAGATGACACCTTGTAATGGTATCTACATCCAGTATTCTCACATAGTCTTCTCCTACACTTTATGACTACTTGCTACCTTTACTCACATGTACTTCAGGTATACTGTCTACATAGAAAACACTACTGACTTCTGTGCTTCACAGCCTGTCAGCTAATCTCTAGACGTGTCTCGCATACACTGCTACACACCACTAGTCATTCTGTTCTATTTCCTACACTGATCAACACATTTTCCAGCAACTCATTCATAAAAGGGCATCAAGTAAAATATACCCATGTTTTAAATGATGTTTAAATCTTGTGCAGCTAATAAAATTTAGAGAGCTGTTTTCATTCACTGATTAATATTGCATTACCTCCCACCATTCAATGGTGTAATTCAAAGCAAGTATCTCTCTAACTTGCACTTTATTTTCTGCAGCCGTCCTGTAGTTCTATAGAACTAGATACAACAAATGTCATAGGGTCAATCTATAGTCATAGCATCAATATGACTCCTGGAGTACTTTGGTTGTAGCAATCTCTGACATAGGCCATATCAATAAATTAAGCTACAAATCCTTTATCGTTCTTTGCCAGAAGATGTTTTATTATCTGCAGACACAAGTTACATCCTTCTGATGCTTTTACCTTGACCTTCCCGTCACGACCCCATTTATATATGTTTACCTTGGATACCTTGGATGTTAGATACCAGATAACCCTGATGTACACCTACAGTTATATTAAATCATTACATTTTTATACCATTAATAGTTATATAGGACAATACAACTAAAGAATGCAAACAAATTTTAATATTTTCAAATAATTATTTACCTCTTTCCTCAACATCTTCAATTTCTTCATATTGTAACCAATCATCAGTAGAGAAATAGAATCTTCGTGTATTTGCTTTTTTTGTTGATTCTTGTTGGCGTCGATTCTGCCGGAAGTGCCAATCCAAGTGATGGGAGTACTGGAGGGTTTGTTCAGGAGGATATCGTAACCCACACGACGAACACTGCATCCCACGGTATAGACACTCAATTAGCCATTTTCTTCGTCTGCAAGAAAATACAACATACCAGTAACATTAATGAGCAATATTACTAAGTAGGCTAATATAACAAATTTCCCAGTTAAATTAATAGAATAGGTAAATTACTGCATAGTGTCAGTATGCAATTAATTTTTAGTTTTGAAAGTGAAAAGGGTTTACCAACAACCCAAGTTTTATTCTTTTCCATTTAGCATTTAAATTTCAGTCAATTATGAATGCAACATGCAATATCTATCCTGCTTTAATTATAAGAATTAACTGCTCTGACAATACAAATACCAAAAACTGTCTACCTATGAAGCTTTAGGTTCTATAATCTTTAGGTTGTGCAATATAGAACACCATTTTCTGCCTCTCCTGTTATTAGTAAATCTTATTTTATCTTCTACACCTATTTGTCTATAGTTAACCAATATAAATTTTTGTAAACCATCCCAAGTACTTAACTTTCTTGCATCCTTATTATTCAATTTTCTACATTTTCCTCTCCCAAAACAACATTCATCAAATACAATACATCACTATGCTAACAAAAATCCATGTCTATTCACTTACCTTCGGAGATGCTCTGTGTTGAACATAAATTCAAATGATATCAGCTCGTCTTTCTCTCTCTCTTTTTCCTCCTCCTCCTCCTCTTTCTTTTTCTCTAATTCCTCTTTCTTATTCTTGACTTTGTCATGTGCTTTGGCATCAATGAGGCCAGTCCGAGTCAGGTTTTCTAATAACGTGTTAAGGTCAAGTGGCACAGACGAGAGTGGTTGTGATGGTTTGACCAAATTTGGGGGTAACTGACTGGTCATATACGAGCCTGGTATTGCATTGGGAGGTGGATGACTCATGTTCGCAAGAGTAACAGGAACTGCCAATCCTTTTTGTTGAGGCATTTGGCTTCCCATACTTGAGACCTGCATAACCCCACTCGGCGCAGGAACAGCCGGCGGAGCTTGGGACATCATGGCACCAGGGCCATGTGATACAGGAACTTGAGGTGGTGGACCCTGAGATGGTGGACCTTGAGGTGGTGGACACTGTAGTGGTGGACCCTGGAGTGGTGGACCCTGAAGTGGAGGGCCCTGAGGTGGGGGACCTTGAGGTGGTGGGCCCTGATGTGGTAGGCCCTGGCGTGGTAGGCCATGAGGCAGAAGGCCGTGGGGTGGAGGTCCTGTATGTAGAGGTCTCGGTGGTGGAAGTCCTGGAAGTGCCTGTGATACTGGCCCCTTTGGGGGTGGTCCTTGGTGAGGAACAAAAACACTGTCAGATGGGGACGACATTCCCATTGAAGGGTGTCCGACACCCTTGCTAGAAGTTTTATCAGCAGGGTAACCCATTGGAGGCTTCCGAGTCATCTCTAGAGAAGGTGAACTACGATTAGGTTTCATTGCACTTTCAATTTTATCCTGTGCTGGACTACCTGGCAGACTTGACACTTTCTGGCCGTCGGGTTCCATCCCTCGAATGACCACTTGCCCTGGGATAATACCTTGTGGGAGTGATGTGAAACGTAAGAAACGTCTGTAACCCCGCACGCTGATACTAAGAGGAAGCCCTCCAAATTCAACTGGGAATCTGACATTATTTATGGCAACTGCCCTAAGAGCATCAACGAACTGAATAACAAATGGTTTTCCATCAATGTTGAACCGCTGTGGCTTAGCATCCAAGAATAGATGAACCACTTTTGTTGCATTGATAACAAGCTGGATTTTACCTGCCAGGAATTCTGTGTTTCTAACGGGACCTATATTTACATTTGGGGGCTTTCCATCGAGGCTGACAGTACGAGGCTGGCCGGCCAGGTGAACAGTAATGGGTTTGCCACCAAAGAAACATTGGTAGCCTCTACCATCAAGCATTAGCTCTTGGGTAGGTACCCCAAGTTTTATGCGGTGACTCTCTCCAGCAATTGTGAATTCCTTATAATCGTCCCCTATTCTCATGGGCAGCATAAACTTTCCTTCGTCAAAAACAATGTTACAGTGTCCCTCCCCAAATGTCAATATACGAGGGTCATTCCAATCCAGAAGAATTACAGCATTCTCTCCATAAGTACGGATCTCTCGCGGAATGCCATCAATCTCGATAGTCCTTGTTTCCGCATCACGAGCGACAGCCTTCAGAATCTCATCGGTAACAAAAGGTAGATCCGGCTCTCCAGTCCACTCATCCTCCAGCGTGGCATCTTTAGGAGTCCAACCACGATCATCTTGCTGATATCCACCCCTTCCCCTTCTGCCACGTCCTCTTCCTCTACCCCAGCCATCATCTTCACTTCCTGGACCTCCTCTTCCTGCTCTTCCCATGCCTCGTGCTGCAGGAGGAGCACCAGGCCCCATGAAAGCACCTCGGCCACCTCTTACACCCTGAGCAAAACTTAAGTGACCTTCCCGACTGCCTCGTCCTCGCCCTGAGCCTGGAACAGCAGCAGTCGGACCAAGACCAGGGCCACCTGGACCCAGACTCCCCACACCAGATGGCAGTCCAACAGATGAGACAGGTGGGCCATCACCAGCTGGGTAAAGGAAACATCAGTGTAAATAGCTGAATCCAAATCAACAAACTTTAAATAAACTGATGGAAATATATTACACTACATTTCATGATTTAGTATACTCATAAAATAAATTTGATAAAGAATATTTATAACTACAGTGGTACCTCGAATAACGAATTTAATCTGTTCCGGCGTCGGCGTCGTCATGTGAAATGGACGTCATACAAAACGAATGTCCCCATTGACATTTATGGTAATCAAATTAATCCGTTCTACCACCGAGAAACATCAATATGATATTTGATGTTTTAAATAATGGAGCAGCCTACCTTACATACACTACACAAACCTTTATGACATTTTTCTTTCTTCAAATTTGTTCAATATTTATTTTTCATTTGTTTTTCATATAATGGAGCAGCCCACCTGCCGAACACCGAACGAACCTTTTTGACATTTGTCGTATTTCAGAATTTTCTTTTCATTTATTTTTTCTATAAAAACATCAATGCTTTGCAACATCTCAGCAGTCACCCCTTTATATCCCAGCATCATTAGCATCTTTAAACAAGAACAACATAATTTATTTGCATTGTCGGAGGCGTCCAAGAATGTGCAAGAAGCAGTGCGACCTCACCATGTGGTGTTGACGTTACTCAAACAAGCGTTCGCCATACGGGACGATTTGTCGCCGATCGGGCCGGTCGTTATCCAAAATGTTCGCCTTTTGGGGCGATCGTTATGCGAGGTACCACTGTACTCAGAAAAACAATAGGTTTGCACATTCACCAGATGCATTGTAATTATTACAAGGCCATAACAAAATAAGAAACTAGAAATAAATCAACTTATACTTATCTTTAAGATTGTTCAATAAATTTGACATTACAAATTTTTAGAATATTTGTGGGAAACAGATTTGTGGGGAACAGTAAAGATGAACATCACTTCAAACCCTGCAGTAAAGTATGCCTACCCTGAAAAGGTTGAGACTGCTGCAAACTTCGGTGTTTAAGTCTCTCACGCTCACGTGCCTCTCTGATCTGCTCTTGTTCCGTCAGAAGTCTCAGTTTGTTAGCCATGTCTTGATACTGGTGTTCACTGATCTCACCGCGATCCCTTTGTTCCAGTGCTTGCTTCAGAATCATCTGTTAACCAAAAAATGCAAAGATATTTATATATATGGGGTCAGGTGAAAACAAGTAGACCAATAAGAACAAAGGTAACTGCAGAAGGCCTATTGGCCCATATGAGGCAGCTCCTAGTTATAACCACCCAATCCCACTCATGCTCATGTCCTACCCACGTTTGAAACAATCGAGGGATCCCACCTCCACTACGTTACGTGGTAATTGGTTCCACAAATCAACAACCCTGTTACCGAACCAGTATTTACCCAAGTCTTTCCTAAATCTAAACTTATCCAATTTATACACATTGTTTCGTGTTGTCTTGTGTTGATACTTTTAATACCCTATTAATTAACATTATTGCACTCTTCGAATGTCCCTGGTGTCTGATTTTTTTCTCTCGAGTCCGAGCATCGGACTGTACTCACATCCGATAAAATATTTGTATAAAATTTGTTTATTATCCAATCGACTTTGGGATAGTTTCAAAATGAGTGCCTTTAGAGTGCGCACAAAATATTTGTATAAGATTCATTTATTATTTGATCGACTTCGGGATAGTTCCAAAATAAGTGCCTTTAGAGTGTGCACAATGTGATACCAAAATGAAAGATGTAACAGGAAACTTGATGTCAGAGCACTTGAATGACTATATATACGTTTTTTTGTTTCAAATTTTAAAATATTTGTTAAAATTCTATTTATTGTGCTATTATTATGGGACTAGTTTTAAAATGCGCGCCTTTAGAATGTGAACAATTTGATACCACAATTAAAGATATAACACGAAAATTTATGTCAGAACACTGGAATGATATAAATAATTTTGTGATGATGAGCATCCAAAATTAAAATTTGTTAAAATTCCAGTTATTGCTCTATTATTTTGGGAATAGTTTTAAAATATGCGCCTGAATATTGCGAACAATTTGATACCAAAATGAAAGACGTAACATGAAAATTAATTTTATCAAACTGAACGAGTATACAAATTAGGCTGCGGTGTACAAATTGGTGCTCGTTCACGGGTAAATTTAGGCTTTGCTACGGGGAGTCACGCCGGGCTTTTGGACATCATATGCACATACACTTGTAGGGAATTCTATTCCATTGCAAACGCAATGATACCAAAACAAACGACTTTGCACATAAATTAAGATAAGAAAACTGAAATGAGTATACGCATTTTACGGATTTTGTGCGCTCAAGGGTAACTTTTGCCGACTTTAGGCTTTGCTGCGGGGAGTCACGCCGGGCTTTTGGATGTTATATGCACATACACCTGTAAGGAGGGAAGGAAATATGGGGGACAAAACTAGAAGAAAGTACCAACAGGTATTTTCTGAAGCAGCACATAACACAAGACAAGAAAGATCAGAGGATGATTTAGAAATGATTGATCTGGTGTTCACCCAGAGCATGGTGGAATGGGTAAATATCAAAATGATACGATATGAGCTGGCGGATGTGAGAAGGCGATGTAGCCGAAAACGTGTTAAGCATTCTCTATTTTTCACATGTGGTTTTTCCGCATACTGTACTTAGTGCCAGTGACTAACAAAAACAAAAGAAAAGAGCATTCAGCTATATTTTTGAAACATGAGAATTTACCTTAAAATTTTCCTGTGCAGCTTTGCTCCGTCCTTGTGGACCAAGACTATCTTCATCTTCCTCCCCCCAATATCGCCTCCCATCTGTAACAAATAAAAATTATATTAATTCTTGCCTTTACATATGCCAATAGTAAATTATAGGCTAATATAAACAAATACCTACTATACATATTGTTAAGTGTAGTAGCATAATTCATACGGTCATATTACCTCTGTGTCTGCCTGGTCCTCCATCTTTCCAATTTCCATAGGTCCTGCTTCGGAAGTTATGCACACGACTTGGTGGCCCATGTGGACTATCACAGAAAGGCATGTCCTCATCTTCATCACCCAGGAAGATACTCCTGTCCGGTTCTGTAGGGAATAAGTTCTCAATAATGGAAAGGTTTAAACCATGCGACAGTTTAACACAATTAATAGGGCTATTCCTTCTTTATTACTATTTTCAACCTATTCTGTCAACTATTGTACACTGTACTTGTAAAATGAGAATGTTCTATCACATATATATACCTGCAAGTGATTTTACAGTGATTAAGATATTATTTTATATATATATATATATATATATATATATATATATATATATATATATATATATATATATATATATATATATATATATATATATATATATACACACACACACATTTGAGTGAGGTGGTAAAAAAAGAACGCTTTAAAAGAGACTAATGTCGTCTATGCCTTCAAATGCCCACTTGGGGACTGTAAGCTCCAAAAAACCCAGTATATAGGCAAGACAACAACATCTCTTTCTAGGCGTTTAATGATGCATAAGCAACAGGGCTCCATTAAGGAACATATAATCTCTTCCCATAACCAAACCATCGCCAGAGAAATCCTAGTAAACAACACAGATATCATCGATAGATACAGCGATAGCAGGCGGCTTGACGTTTGCGAGGCACTACACATCAAGAAGTCAACACCAGCAATCAACAGCCAATTATTGCACAACTATATTCTACCCACCTCAAGACTCCGCTCCAATATAGAAGCATCTAGAAATATGGACCAATAGGCTTTCTACAAACACTTCTATTCAATACCCATTGTTTCTGTTCTGTCTTGTGTTGATACTTTTAATACCCTATTAATATCCCCTCCTGTTCTATCTTGTGTTAATGCCACATCTTCCTTACCACCTCACTCAAATGTAGATATAAAATCAGAAATACGTTCTAATCAGTTGTGTATTTGTGAAGTCTTTGAAAATGTAATATTATATATATATATATATATATATATATATATATATATATATATATATATATATATATATATATATATATATATATATATATATATATATATATATATATATATATATATGAGACAATGTCAGACCACGGAGGAAAAATGAAACAGGAAATTTCCTTAAGTACTTTCGTATATTCGACCTTCTGAAGATGTATTTAATATAAGAAAGTACTTAAGGAAATTTCCTGTTTCATTTTTCCTCCGTGGTCTGACATTGTCACATTCTTAATCACTTGTTTATTTTCGTGATATACACACACATTATTTATATATATATATATATATATATATATATATATATATATATATATATATATATATATATATATATATATATATATATATATATATATATATTATATTATATTATATATATATATATATATATATATATATATATATATATATATATATATATATATATATATATATATTATATATATATATATATATATATATATATATATATATATATTTTATTTGTTTATTTGTTTATTTTTTTGTGTGTGTATATCACGAAAATTTACATGTGATGAAAAATGTGACAGTGTCAGACCACCAAGGAAGAATTGAAACAGGAATTTCCTCAAGTACTTTCGTATATTAATTTAGTTTCTTTCTGAAGATGTATTAATATACGAAAGTACTTAAGGAAATTTCTGTTGCAATTCTTCCTCCGCGGTCTACGTTATGTACTGTTGGTTTTAAATGCCAAAAATATTATACATTTATGTTTTATTACGATGCCATCACTCACCTGACATGCTAGCCTGCCGTTGGTACTCTTTAAACTCCGGATTTTTCTCTCTAAACTTCTCCCAAGATGCTGCGTGAGGGCTGTTAAAGCTGTGTTTCCTCATGCGCGGATCTACAGCACCTGGAAGTGGGCTTTCTATTCCAATTGGGACAAGTTCTCTTTTAGAATGCGTTATGTTAGAATCCTGATTTTCGGATGTGCTCAGAGGAGCAAGGGGGTCACGCGGTGGCTGATCTCTATTGCTAGGATTTCGATCATCTTGGTCCATCATGTTAAATGCTGCAGGTAGGCCCGGAGTGGGCAGGAGGCCTGGTCTGGGTAGAAGTTGCCGGTAATCCACATCCTTTTTACTAAACAGTCTGTAACAGGATAGAGGTAACAAACTGTAAAAGTACGGCACACTTTAGAAAGTGTCCAACATGCACACAGCCCATAAGTTTTCTGTTGTTACACCATTGTGAACATCAGTTTGAATGTTTGATCTGCACTGCTACTGATAATATAAACAATTGTTTCATTACATTTATTTTCAGTTGTCCTACATCAATTTATGAAAGAGGCAATACTGTAAGAATGACACTATTTTATTATAAACTCCATTCTCAATATTAAATTTGATATTATTTCACTAATACAGTGGAGTTTCCCTGTAATGGATAAATTAGTATTGGACCTAGATAGAATAGGATAGAACTGAACAGAAGTTTACATTATACAGTAGTGATTTTTAAGAAAAATATTAAACAAAAGCAAAGCAATGGGGACCCTCAGTCTACAAGTGTTCAGAGAAGTGAACGTTTACTCTGGTTGTTTGGTGTGTTAATACAAAAATTAATGTGTGCAGATTTGTTTTTGAAGCCAAAAATAAGTATAGAATTTTGAGTTTACCCACATATATGTTGCGCATAACACTGACATTGCCCAGACGATTTGGTACATGATGTCGAAATACTATTATCATCTGCATAAAAACTATAAGTTATGTGGATATAGGAGAAGGGAGACCATTAGCTAGGGCTGGTTGGAGCCATTATGGGAATGATTTGACATCTGCCACCCTTGTTATTGAGCATATACCTTAATGGAGGCTTGGGATAATACACACTGTATGTCTTCTGTCTTGGATAGGCGTATTTGGTTAGGCTAGGGCTGGTTAAAGTGATTACTGTCACTTTTTTCAAATAAGTGACCATCGCTTGGCAATGACTTGGTACTTGAGATGGTCAGTGTTTTATTAATTTACCAACAGTATGTTTCTAAATTTAAACTCACACCATATTTTTTATTGCTGGCTTATTCAAGAAATCAGTAAATGGATAACCAAAGTACCAATATACCTGGAGAAATTACCATACAGATTTCAAATGACTTGATTAGACATTTATTGGACTGAGTCCATAAGAGGAAGAATCAAATGCTATATATTATTCTGACCAGCAGCCATTAAGCCAAAATACTTGCTTCATTATATAGTATGAAGTACTTAATACTTTCTGGGAGTTTATGTAATAATTATACATTTAGCAAAGCACTATTCAGTAATTGTTTACAATAGAGTTTATTCTAAAATCAACAATTTGCAATTGCAAGATATTAAAATGACAAAAAGAAATGTAACAATGACAAGTCACAACATGAAGAATTTCTCAACACTCAAGTTGCTGGGCAGAAGAAACTCTGTGCAGCTCTTACGAACCTGAAGATTCAAGATGGTTAGCGCATGTGTACTCTCTGGCAGACAGACTCCGTACACAATTACCAACTGTGTCATAAAGACTCACCAACAATGCAAAAACTTGCCTTGGCTGGTCACTGGAGGGAGTAAGTTCAACTTCAGTGTGCAATGGCAACCCCTGCCCTAAACCCATTAACTAACAAAAGTGTAAATCTAAATTAATATTTACATTAAATTTTCTTGCAACTAATAATGTTATTTTATAAAATGATATACAACTACGTTATTAAATCTCCTTTTTTTTTTTTTTTACAACTAAGTATCAGTTCACCAGATGGAGCCCCTTCCACAACTAACAGTTGAGTATTATAACTATTATATAACCAGTGAAACATCAGAGCCCTTAAGGCTGCCCTGCTCTCTCACCCGGGCACAAGCAATGTACAGTATATCTGCCCCCCCCCCCCACCTCTATGCCCCAGTTCATCACAACAAAGACTTACCCAAGATCTTGATGCGGCTCGGGCGGTTTCCTGCAAAACAGAGGTGTAAAAAAACATGTGTTGGTGATCAGACATGATTAATTCAACAATAACACATGTGAGTGAACAGATGTGACTAGTGGAGCATTAACATATGTGAGTGAACAGATGTGACTAGTGGAGCATTAACATATGTGAGTGAACAGATGTGACTAGTGGAGCATTAACATATGTGAGTGAACAGATGTGACTAGTGGAGCATTAACATATGTGAGTGAACAGATGTGACTAGTGGAGCATAAACATATGTGAGTGAACAGATGTGACTAGTGGAGCATTAACATATGTGAGTGAACAGATTGACTAGTGCAACAGTAACGCATGTGGATGATTAAATGCTACTAGTGGATTATTAACATATGTGAGTGATCTTGTGAGACTGATGCAACATTAACATACATGGGTGATAAGATGCAATATAGCATAACAAAGAAAAGAATATCAGGCCTACAGCAGTAGGCCTAATAGCCAATGTGAGGCAGGTACCAATTACAACACACAACTTTCATTCTAGTATCTGTTTGTTTTACCTTTAAAACATCAAGGAAGTACATAATTATCAAACAGTTTCAAACCCACAACTTACCAAAGTATTTACTTCAATAATAATTCTTAGGCAACTTCTTCCACTTGCTTAAGAGTTTACCAATATCCCATTTAATATCAAATACTTCGATTTCAATTTCATCCATTGGCAAGAGATCTTTCTCACTGGGCACGGGTGATCAACACCATGTTTTTACCTATTCTCTCCTCATCATACCTTTAAAAGTGATTTAACTTCATTGCTCTTAATCTATTTTGTAAACAACATTTATAATGCTGGTCATTACCATTCGTTCTTTATTGCAAGTTTCAGGAGAATTTGTGTACACTTTACAGTAGGGTGTCAAAGTACAGTACTTTAATTATCAAATGAAAAGTATTATGCTAAAATAATAGTAGTACTATGCAAGTCACAGTGATTCAGTGTCCTACACACAACTTAAGATGACCAAATAATCTCAAGACACCTCAACTTCACTCATATTTAACAAGTTGCATTCAAAGAGGATTTTATTAAGAAACCTCTGGTACAAAGCAAGATTTACGAAGCAAATATTCCGATAATCTTGAAAATAAGAACATTCCAGTGTGCTTTACTGTACGATTGTAAACAAAATACTGCACTTTTGACAGAAAAATGGGATTTCTGTTCAGTTAAGAAACCACGAGATAACTTTATGGCCAACACATAATTGGCATATGAACATTTCCCATTTTCTATTTTACTTATATAATGAAGGCCAAGGATGAAAGATCAAACCCATGGCATAATTTATTATATACTCCTTGTAGCCAGATATCCATTTTCAAATATATGTCTACAACCTTCTGAATTGCAGGATAGAAAAACAAATGGGGGATGGATCTTAGGAAGATAGTACACGTTCACAGGGCTTCTCTAGCTGCATTTGCTTACAACAAATGGTGACAAACTGAACAGAATAATCCAACCCAATAGAGAAGCAGTGTACAATGAACATTGTACAATGAATACTAGATACCATAAATGCTATAAAGCATTATTCAAAATCTTTATTTCTCACAAAGTGAAATCCTGAAATGAATTGACCCTTACAAGTTACACTAGCTCGAGTAAAATATATATATATTTTACATCTTATTATACTTTAGTAAATTCCAACTTCATTACTAAATAAATAGGATTACTGTAACAAAAAAAAATTAGCATATTCGTTTTCATGCTGTTACCGAGCACTTTCAATCCCTAGAATGTAATATAGCTTTATAATTATACAATTCCAGTTTGTTAAAATACAATCACAACACTTTCTTAAGCCTTTTCCAACATTCCAACCAAATAGAGCACAATCCAATATTTAGATTGCATTAATAGTTATTATTTCATTAATTTTTTTGGTAGAGTCAATAAAGGTAGCAATGGATTATTTCTTTAGAGATTACACAAGATATAATGCTTATAAAGTCAAGTAACTCGCAAACTTTTACCTAAAAATGTCAATTATTCTGGAAAGACAATTTCCCAAATTTATTGTATAAAGAGTCTCCAATTTCCCAGTGTGGGTACCTAACATCCACACTGTTGTTCAGTCCCAGTGTGGGTACCTAACATCCACACTGTTGTTCAGTCCCAGTGTGGGTACCTAACATCCACACTGTTGTTCAGTCCCAGTGTGGGTACCTAACATCCACACTGTTGTTCAGTCCCAGTGTGGGTACCTAACATCCACACTGTTGTTCAGTCCCAGTGTGGGTACCTAATATCCATACTGTTGTTCAGTCCCAGTGTGGGTACCTAACATCCACACTGTTGTTCAGTCCCAGTGTGGGTACCTAACATCCACACTGTTGTTCAGTCCCAGTGTGGGTACCTAACATCCACACTGTTGTTCAGTCCCAGTGTGGGTACCTAACATCCACACTGTTGTTCAGTCCCAGTGTGGGTACCTAACATCCACACTGTTGTTCAGTCCCAGTGTGGGTACCTAACATCCACACTGTTGTTCAGTCCCAGTGTGGGTACCTAACATCCATACTGTTGTTCAGTCCCAGTGTGGGTACCTAACATCCATACTGTTGTTCAGTCCCAGTGTGGGTACCTAACATCCACACTGTTGTTCAGTCCCAGTGTGGGTACCTAACATCCATACTGTTGTTCAGTCCCAGTGTGGGTACCTAACATCCACACTGTTGTTCAGTCCCAGTGTGGGTACCTAACATCCATACTGTTGTTCTGTCCCAGTGTGGGTACCTAACATCCACACTGTTGTTCAGTCCCAGTGTGGGTACCTAACATCCACACTGTTGTTCAGTCCCAGTGTGGGTACCTAACATCCATACTGTTGTTCTGTCCCAGTGTGGGTACCTAACATCCACACTGTTGTTCAGTCCCAGTGTGGGTACCTAACATCCATACTGTTGTTCAGTCCCAGTGTGGGTACCTAACATCCACACTGTTGTTCAGTCCCAGTGTGGGTACCTAACATACATATTGTTGTTCTGTCCCAGTGTGGGTACCTAACATCCACACTGTTGTTCAGTCCCAGTGTGGGTACCTAACATCCACACTGTTGTTCAGTCCCAGTGTGGGTACCTAACATCCACACTGTTGTTCAGTCCCAGTGTGGGTACCTAACATCCACACTGTTGTTCAGTCCCAGTGTGGGTACCTAATATCTGCAACATTGTTATTAATTAAGTTCTGTGCCACAATGTGCATGATAATACATCACCTTGATACAGATAACACCAAAATAATGTATAATGTGTGTCCCCCCTCCCTTCCACACACACATGTTAAAGAATGACGAGTGGAAACAAATTAACAAATTCTGATGTATGTACCACAGACTGAAATCCTCGACATATTTGCTGGTTGAAAATTAAAAAAAATGACTATTTGGAAATTAAACTTAAATATTAGAATATAAAGAACCTTTACATTTTAATACAAAGGAAATAAACACCCCAGTTAAAACCATTTATTTTGACCCTGTTTCCTGTGGTAAAAATGTCCACTGTAGATCATGCCATTTACATGCATCTTGAAGAAATTTCTCATGTAGCAAGTAATACTTTACTAATGAATAAGCACAGTATAAAGAATTGCAATCTTTACTGTTACTTATTGCTTCAAATTGGTTTTGAAGAAAAAACTTGCTGGGTTCTAAAATTTTTGTCCAGTTCCTTGAAAGTGGCTAATAAGCCTGCGATGGTAAGTGTTTATAATGAATATTATATCCCCGCACTATAAATAAGATTGTATCTGATTGGGGGTTCTAGGATTTTTTTTTATTCCCCAACCCAGGGCCAAGATATATTCAACAAGTGTGTAAACGGTTTCAGTTCACCAGCAATTGGAGTCATGCCATCTACTGGCAACACCCACCACCCACTGTGTTAAAAGTTGCCAACTCTCATTTACAAGCATTAGGTCCTGTTTTAGTCCCTCATAATCAGTTTCATATAAATCTTTTATGAACCAGATTTCTTTATGACCATTTCTCTCCAATTGTCACCAATGTTTTATTAATGTGTTTACTTGCTACTACAGTTTGCAATAAATTAAAATTTATCTTCTTTCCTTGATGATTTGCTAAGATAATGTTTTAGAAAGTATATAGTCTAAAGCCAAACCTCCAAAACTCTTCTGCTACACCATTTCCTGTTTGTCTGTTATTTTACTAAGATAATCACTTTATCTGCATTGTAAGTCCTTTACAATGCAGATATTATTACACCTATATGTCTTAAATGTCTGCCAAAAAATTCTTTCCTTCCTTCCATTACAAGGAAATTTAAACAGGAACAGATAATTAAATCCAAATGTGCTTGTTTACATGAAATTATTGTGCTACAACATGAGGTGCACATTTTAAAATTAGTAATTACTCATCAAGCTTTCAAAATTATTGTTCACCGAGGCACGGAAATTTTCCATTTAAAAAAAATATGCAGTACATCTGCATTGTTCTTGATTATATCAGTTGCCAACTGGTCTCGTATGCTTGCCACCCAAAGGGCCCATACTTTGCATCACTGGAGACAAGCTGTTAAACTATAATTTTAAAGCCATAGTTACATGATAAAATTATTTTTCAGTCAAGATTGTAGTGGCTTTTCTATATCTTAAATGCTTGTACAGGTATTAAATTACTTCTTACATTCTTATATACAGTATATATATATTGCTTTAAATGTGGTGATCATGTCAGGTTATTAACTTTCATTAGCTCTATGGTGTTCACACAATACTTTGTATTTTTAGCTTGTTTCCAATATGTACCACCATTTACTAAATTAGCATTTAACATCAGGTGTCACTCTTAAATGAATTAACTAGCTTGTAATCTCTAACATTACTGAAGTTTTAACTTGGTGCCCTGGTTTAGTTTTAGAGGCAAATTGTTATATTGTACAACATAACCATTAATGGAGCAGATTTTTGTAAATTTAGAGAAAACTACTGTATTCCCAAGACTGACCACAGCAACAACACTGTCAGCCCTAAGCAATACTATGTGACAACCCGCCTTTTTGACCATCTTTCGGCTACATCAGCTAACTGAGGTCTCCTGCCTTGCCACGGGCAGTGACTTATGTTTCCCATGACATATACCATTAGAGCCAAAATTTATATTTATATTGTTATACCTGTGTAATTCAGATTTTTTACTGACTATAATAGTTTTGAAAAGAATTTGCTGGATCCGGCTGCTTTATTTGGCTTCGTCTTATTGAGCATTCGTACAGTACAGTACTGTGAACCATTTTGCAAACACTAATACAATATATATCCATACAGTCGTAGGAATTTTTTCTCTTCTCTAGTACAGTAATGGTGTTAGTAAAGGAATGTTTGTTATTAAAGTAACATATGCTTAATTTTAATAGGCAGCCTCCAGTATTATCCCCCAGTACTTTTTACTTATTTTGTTTAATCCAAGAATTTATACCACCCTGTTTCACCATGAAGTAATCTCTCTTATTACATATTGTGATATGAATAACCCCTTTATCAAGAATTAAACTTTCAATACTAGATTTTTTACATTCTGCCAAACATTTTCTTTTAAACAAAAGTAACAATCATTTCATGCAAGATTAGAAAAGATCACTAACAGTACTACCACAGTCATATGATAAAGAATCTTACTAGGTCTTACAATATACATAAAATAAATTAGCATGGAGAAACATGCACATCACTCCAAATAATGATACACCATACAAATAAAAAGATACAAAAGATAATAAGTGCAGGTTGATGGAATGTTGTTGTCAGTTCTCTTGACAAACAAAACATTTACGTCAACCAATGTCCCATTTACAAAAATAAAAAATAAATGTCTACTTACTCATCAATAATCGTGTCCTTTGGTGGGGAAATATTTTCATCAGTTGCTTGTCTCTTGGGAGGAGAGGTGAACTGACGGTAATCCGTGTCCCCAATGCCGGTGGTTGATGTAGCGGGACTGCCGACTTCTGGCTTCTTGGCTGAAATGCAGTTTGTGGTTGTTGGCATAGGACAAGGATTGTACTCATTTGAAGACTCCAATACCAAGTGATTCCCAGATGACCACTTGTTCTTACAAGGCATTCCTGTGTTCAATCCTTGACCTTTACACAGGGAAAACAAAAAAGTCCAAGAAAAATTAAAACAGTTATTTGTAAGCACATAAACCTGACTAGTGCACACGTATTGGGTCAGTGACTGGGGAGTTGAAAACTCTGCAGACACCAGCTTACAAGCTCGTTTCAAGACCACGTAATTAAAGTAATGAACTTGTACATTTATTTAATGTATACATCTATGTACAAATTTGAGTATACATAATACCGTAGTTAGATGCAACTGCTTCTTGCATATGCACTAACTGCATGTTGTTTATAAATGTACTTCATATGTGAATAAAAGAATTCAACAGGAACCTCTGAAGCGGTCTACTCATCATATAATAAGTTATTTCCAGAAATAAACTTTAATCACAGGTCATCAATTATTAATCAAAATCTCGCCTTCGAGCTGAACACTTTAACTAAACTGAGCATGTTAAAGTACAGAGTTGTAACAAATCTAATTTGAACAATTGAATTGGTAACCTTTTATAGATATAATAATAAAATAATACAATTATTTCTAGATATTGTACAAATATGTGTAAACCAGAAGGCCACTGAATCCAAACTATAATGATGCTTTTATATCCGTAAACTGAATATACACATACACACACATGTGAGTTACTGTGAGGGGTGAGACCTCAGACTGGCGTGATGTCACCAGAAGAGTGCTGCAGGGTTCTGTACTTGGATCTATCCTGTTTCTGATATACGCGAATGATCTTCCTCCTGAAGGTATTACTCATTCCTCTCAATGTTTGCTGATGATGCATAAATTATGAGAAGGATTAAGACAGAGGAGGACAGCAAGAGGCTACATGATGACCTGGGCAGACTGAAGGAATGGTCCAACAAATGGCTACTAGAGCTTAACTCGAGCAAGTACAAAGTGATGAAGATAGGTATAGGGAGCAGGCTAAACGCAAGGTACCAACTGGAAGAGGAAATGCTTCAGGAGTCAGGACAAGAGAAAGATCTAGGGGTTGATATCACACCAGACCTGCCCCTGAAGCCTACATCAAAAGGATAACATTAGTGGTATATGCAAGGCTGGCAAACATAAGAATTGCCTTTAGAAACTTGTGCAAGGAATCATTCAGAACCTTGTATACCTTATATGTCAAACCAATACTGGAATATGTGGCTCCAGCATGGATTCCACATCTAGTCAAACACAAAATGAAGTTAGAAAAGGTTCAGAGGTATGTCACCAGGCAAGTCCCCGAGCCGAGTGGAATGAGAAATGAGGAAAGATTACTGGAACTGAACCTCATGACACTGGAAGACAGAAGAGTTAGGGGAGACATGATCACTACCTACAAAATTTTCAGAGGAACTGACAGGATAGATAAAGATAAACTGTTTAACACGGGTAGTATGCAAACAAGGGAACAGCTGGAAACCGAGTACCCAAATGAGCCACAGGGACATTAGAAAAGCTTTTTTCTAATGATTATTTTCAGTGTCAGAGTAATTAACAGATGGAATGCATTAGGCAGTGATGTGGTGGAGGCTGACTCCATACACAGTTTCAAGGTCAAGTACAACAATACTGGAGTGTTAGGAGGGAAATGCACCAAGCACAAAACCTATAAGATGAGAATCTACTAAAGACACCGTACCTTCTTCCTGCTTCCTCATTTGCTAACACATCGTGCACTCTCATTTGTTTTCTACTCCTTTGCTAATCAACCACCCATCTTTCTTCCACTTCCCCCATTTGCCTTTTCAATAAACTATCCACTTCTTAAACTTCTATGCACTTATTATACAACTTGCAAAAAAGAACTGAAAACTTAAAATTATCACTTTAGAAAACAACCCTGTATATTTTTGGAATATATGACTAGCTATTCATTAAATCTTAAATTAATCAAGGCCGAATGCAAACACGATTGCCATTGGCATTGACACTCAAAATTAACTGCCACTGACAAAAAATTTTGGTCTAAATATTCTAAACATTTAGTCTTTGTTCTTAAAAGTTGTGAAATAGATGTAAGCTGCTCATCTCAGTCACCATATATATATATATATATATATATATATATCTATTCCTCAAACATTAAAACAAAAGTATATCCTCTCATTACCCACTGACTATATACAGTATACTAATCCACTAACTAGATAACTCAAGAATCTTCTCCCAAGCATTCACATCAATCCTCACTGTCCTCCATGCAGTACTTGGGACCATTCCAATACTCCCTTAATGCTCCTCCATTTCATTTCGTAAATCTGTGTGTACTAGCATTTTACCTGAGGTTAAGTTAGAGACCTTGTGACACCCACACTCCCTGCACCTATGGTAATTTTTGGCTACATGGCTACCCTACACACACACAAAATGGAGGCCAAACTGTCAATAGTTTCAAAGTGTTATACGACAAAGTGCTGGGAAGATGGAACACCGTGTGTGTAGCTTTCATCCTGTAATACTTCGGTAATTACACAAAAGTGTGACTATACACATGAAGGAAAGAGGGCAATGATACTAGAGAGGACACATAGCAATATAGATAACCAACTTCTTCAGAACAACAAGTGAAAACTGTTAAAAAAAAAAAATATATATAATTAGCTTGGTCATAAGGGTGTTCAAATTTACTGTGTGAAGCAAAGTAAACATAAGCCTAATATTTTTTTATCCAGGTTTCTACGCCATGTAAAAATTAACCAATAAATAACAGCCTATGCCATGGAAAGCTGGAAACAATATTAAATAATCCAATGAAAACCTTTATTGCCATTTTGTTTTAAGAGATTTTCTATAACAATACATAAAAGAACAATTTAAATTTATGATCATATACCGGCATTAGAATTATGTTTTGCTCAGTTTAAAAAGGCTTGCTGCATGTCTCATTAATAATAACTTTACAATACACACACAAGCACAATCACTGCATCTTAACTCTTTAATTAATATGACAATTTTATTTACAGTATATAGCAAATACAAAATCCCATATTTTAAACACACACACAACCATTATGTATTTCAGATTTACAGGTCAATTAATAGCTTTACATTAAAGAGACAAATAAATAAGACCAAAAGATACTTTTTTTTTAGGTGAAGCAGAAATGCAGAAATTATTCAATACTGTACATTGATTACAAACTCAATCTTCCATAAATAAGGGCAAACTGAACATATTTTGCTTAATTGAATGTTCAGCTATTGTGATTATACAAATACCAAATAAAACATAATATTTACGTAAAATGTATCAAGTATTGGACATCGGACTCGGTCTCAATATTAAATTTTTCTTTTAATTTGGTGTTTAAGAGAGAGAACAAGCACGCACACGTCAGGACACGTGATTCTTCTCTCTGGCAACTCAGAGATTAAGTAATAGGGAGGTAGGGGAAAGGCTGTACTAACTATAAAGGCTGTACAACAAAACTAACTATAAAATTCAAATTCTTGTCTCTTGCACTTGGAAAGAAACATTAAATGTGACATCAACATTACGTCCTGAAATTTTTCCCTATCATTTAAAATTTTCTCCAAAATTAGGACCTGGCAATTTAAGCAAAATTTTACAAACATTAAATCATCATATATTTTTCTTCAGCAAATGTAAAAAAATTTAACAGTAAATCTTAAATTACAAAGACAAATTGGTAAAAAAATTAACCATATAGTAAAATCTTCAAGTAATACAGTTTTTGATGTCAGCATAGAATAAAATTCTCTAAATTTAATTTTCCCTATTTATAATACAGTACAGTACAGCCATCAATGGGAAAAACTATTTGTTAATACTGATTAAACTGTAGTTCTCTTACATGGACTGACCTACAGAAAAATCTTTCATTTAATGTGTGTAACTTTCACAAACGATCACAAACCCTTTTTTTTTTATCCCATATTCAGTTTGAATTATTAAGCTATGCCAAACTGGCTCAATCCTGACAAATTAAGAAAATTGCTTACTGGTCAACACAAGGCTCCTGTGCTAAATTAATGGTATATGAGCAACTTAAAATTTTCACCAATTCAGTTGTTTGAATAACCTTTACATTATTTTCAAGACATCAAAGAATGAAGAAAAAGCTCTTTCTGTAGAAGAACATTCACTGAAATCTATGGACAGTACTAGTGGGAATATAACTGGGGTTTCAAAATGTTCCAATCTTGAATTTTAATTAGAAATGTGGAGCAACTGTGGTTGAAACTTAAAATTAAAAAGTCAGTTTAACACTTTCGCGCTCTCGGCGCTCAAAAAAAAACAATACCCCAGATGCTTTCGGCACTTCGCGCGCCTACGCGGTAAGACCGAAAAAGTGTACACTCTTTTGACTGTCCTGACAATAATTGAAGGCGCACGTATTTAAATTTGGTATCACTGTGTTCGCAATGAAATTGTCTATAAGAGCATACCTATAAAATGCCGCCCAAGCATAAGGCGTATCAACACCAAATAAAAAAACTATGCAGATCACTCGCCGAGAGCGCCAAACAGCAACAAAATGTTTCCACTCTCTTAATGGTTGCGAAGCCTACAGTTGTCCTACATCGCTAATTTTGGTATCATTGGAATCGCAATAAAATTCTCTACACGGACATATGCATATGAATGTTTAATATAGGTAATTGCCCACCCGCAAGAGTGTGTGAAGTTGAGAGTAGTTAGCCGCGAGCGCACTGGCGAAAACACAGGGGGGAAATCATGCTTGGAAAGTTTATACGTTTCCTGACCCTACTTTTCTATGTACGTATTTCTTTTTTATACCAATGTGTTCGCAATAAAATTTTCTATAAGATGAACTGTATAACATTTGTACAAAGCATGTGTAAGAGAAGCGCCAAATATAGAACCACGTCGCTCAGTATGCGTTCGCGGCAGAAACGAACGCATTGTTTTCGTTCGTTTGATGTTTGTCATGTTTATACTTGTTGAAACATTTTATAATTTGTATGACAGTGATCGCAGTAAAATTCCCTACACAGACATATACATAACACATACAAATATTTCCCA